TAATGATTTCTTGCACTCAAGTCATAAAAAAGAAACATATGATTGCGTAAAAGAGGAATTTAGGTGAGCGAACACAGCAGACCTAACAAGCTGGTAGGATAAGCGTGGGGAGGCGGCTCACCATCTCAGAAAGCCATTGAGACACGAGGATTTACTGGAGATTTACAGGAGATTTACTAAAGTTCAAGATATTTCATGGAGCAGAGGCAAACGACTGCGTTGCTGGAGCAGCAAATATCAGGACGAAACAAAAACAACGTGTGGCATCTGTCAAAAAAACGATATATTATGCTGAACGATGAAGGTGTTTCAGATGATAACATTGTTTAGAATACCAAATGATGATTATATTTTCAGTGTACAGCCATTTTATGCTAGATTTAATTGCCAATTTTTTGGGGGTAGAAATACCCAAACAATAAGATCCTTGTACATACAGAGTTGCTAGTGAGATGTCACCACTTTAGTAAATGCTATGTTTACCTCCACACACTTGACTCTAGAATTTTAAAACCACTTTTGTTAAGCTGATATCAGTTCACAGTGCTTTGATATGTAACTGCGTATCAAAGCTGTTTCGTGACCCTCCACTGTACATTTCTGTTCCTTTTAGAGTCGACATAATGTGAAGGTGAACTGCATTATCCTGATAAAACTTTTGACATTCACGATGCTGTTTGACGTTTCGAAACAGCGTGATAAGGCCATGCGTGAACTAGCCTGGCAAATACATTATTTCTTTAAGGTTTTGTAGTAGATGGATGACATATCTTCCGTAGACACCAACATGAACCTGCCTTATATCATTTTCACCTCTCATTGGACTCATCAACAAACTGGGAAAGCGCTTTCACCGTTTGTCCAAAATGTGACGCTTTGCCGTAGATGATGCACTAACATGCTCCATAAAAAATGACAATACAGTGACACAATTTTGTAATTTTCCCTGATTAAAATGTAGAAATTCAGCTTGAATTCAAGCAGTTCAGCTATAATATTGGATTAGCCTTTGTGCTAGAAATCTGGAGCGCATGGGCATCACTAAATGCTGAGCTTTCTACCTTGTTGAGACATTCGGTCAGACCTTTACTGCAGCCACCTCCAGTTTTTGCTTGTGTCTGTGTTCAATCTTTTCTTTCGTAAGGAAAAAGCAACTCGATCAGGTGGAGGTCAAGTGACTGGTTCGGCCATTTAAAAAAATTTTTTTTTTTTGCCTGAAGTTCTTGGGTTGTGTTCGCAATATGCTTTGGTTCATTATCCATCTGGACTGTGAAGTACCATCCTTTTAGTTTTGCAGAATTTGGCTGAATATGAGCAGAAAGTAAAGCTTTTTACATGTCACGGTTCATCAGCAGTGGTCCATGCCCATGTCATAGCACTGCCTCCACCGTGTTTGACAGATGATCTGCTTTGGATATTAAGCTTCCCCTTTTGTCCTCCAAAAAGGTTTTATCTGTCCAAAAAATCTTGCTGCACAGCTAGGAAGGGATTTTAAAAAATGTTTCCTAGCAAAGCCTAATCTCCCCTTTTCTGTTCTCGAGTGTTACCACTTGTTTGCTGCTTGAAGTCAACCGTCCGTATTTACATTCATGAAGGCATCTCTTGACTGCACATCTTCTTCACAAAGGAAAGATCCCTACCTTCATCCAGTTCATTTGCCACAGTTTATTTGATTTAACGGAATTTCTGCGATCTCTGTGATAGATCTGTTCTCTTGTTTTATCATAACAACAGCCGCCTTGACTCATGTCAACACCTCTTTGGAGTGCATAAAGAGAGTCCCCATGAACAGCCATGCAAATGTACCATTTGGAGTCAGCTTTAGACCTTTTATCTCCTTCATTTGTCATGAAATTATTTCTCCAATTTTTCCATTTGTGAAAATGGAGGGACTCTGTAAAACGGACTGTAATTCCTAAATGGTCAATGCAATGTAATTGTAATAAACCCCTTTAGTTAAAGCTGAAAGTCCTCACTAAAATCACTTCTTGATTGCTTATTTTCTAATCCATTGTGGTGGTGGTGGTGTACAAAGTGGAAATTACAGAAACTATGCCATTGTCCAGACACTCATAAGCCTGACTGTTTAGTAAGGCTCATTAGTGGTGATCCTGGTATATTACCTGATCTGCCTTTAAAAGCATTCCTTTGTCAAAATCTACTTATAAGGTGGCACTGATGCTGTATTCAAAACGCGCAGGCTTCTTCAATAATCTGTTTTTATGTGAACACAGAGTGTACAGAGAAGATAAAAAAGAGGTGTCATTGGGAAAGCGTGTCTGCTTGGGCTGAATTGTTAAATAAATGCTTTCCTAACTTGCATCTCAAAGCAACAACTGAGCTTCCAAGCTGTCTGACTGTGCAAAATGAGTAGCAGCGTGTGAATAACGGTGTGTTTTTGTGTTTTCTTTGTTGACCGTTTAAAGTAATGACGGCCTTCACAGAGTGTTTTGTATGATTATCTGCTGTGATACTGATGGATTTCTGTTCATACCTCCTTTAAGTCAACAGACACGGTTGTTAAGTGATGATCTGTGGGATACAGCTGACTGAACTCTAAGCCACAGGGTATGCAATACGTTTGTACCATGCGGTTTTTGTTTTTTTCTTTAAGTGGCACGTTTTTGCAAAACTAAAACGCAAATTCTCTGGAAAGATGCTTTAATCCATCAGCCGCACTTTGAAGGGACAGGTGTCACCATCCTGAATTCACCTGAAAATGGAGTAGCTGTGTGAATTTTTCAAAATTTCACAGCAGTCATTGTCAGTCTGCTGTGTGTAACACTGATTTTAACCAGCCTCCGTGTCTTTCTCTGCCTTCATTAGGGCGTAGGAGCCGACCCCCACACTGCCTTGGCTCTGCCCCCCGACTCCAAACTGGCCAAAGAAAAAATGGAGGAGCCGGCGTTGCAGCAGATGGACTCAGACGAGATGACCATCAGGATAGGTAGAGCTGGACCTCTCTCAGGCAAGCCTCCCTTCATATACCCACATCAGCTGTTTTGCGCTGGATTTCAGAAAAATAAAGAATCATCACAGAACCATACAAGCATTTGCAGCTGCAGCAAGTGTAGTCCTACTTATTTTCATCGTATGCTGCTGTTCTAGAAAATTTCAGCCATAAGAAAGTGAAATCAATGATTCTGCACTGATATTGGATAAAAACGCACAAAGGAGGACTGCATTTGCTGGCACCTGGAGCTTCTCTGATGGCTACTGCTTTTCTCTTTCCTGATTTTTATCTGCTTCACTTCTACCTTATCTGTCCTGTACGCTTATATAGGATGCTCTCCTAACTTTGAATGGTGTTTTAATCTGGATAGCTCTTGGGAAATTACCCAGAGTTTGGAACTCTTACCTCTCTCCAAGCAATCTCTAACAGTATCCACAATAAGCCGTGAACATAATTGGCTGCTAACCTACACATAATCTACACATTAACATTGTCACACTTGTCTTTTTGACATGAAGTACTTTTTCTAGTCCGCAAGACACGAAATGAGTCTAATTTCGAGACAATAAACACATCTCCCCCCAAAAAATCAAAGAACGATTATACCATAATTCACCATTACACACAAACTGCATAAACATCTACATAAGTAGAGCAAGTTGGAAAATTATAGAACAGATCTAATCAGATAAAGTGGGGAAACAAGCCTTATGAACCAGCAGTGGAAAGGAAATTAGTCGTATGTGTGTTGGGAACAATGTTTTTGTCGGATTTGGTTTTAAGCTGACAATCTACTGACTGTCTATTTGTGTTCACTTGAAGTCTAAGCCCAGCAAGAGCGAGTGGAGGAAATAGAAATAAAATGGTAGTGACTGACAGCTGCACATTACAGACCTTATGTGTTTTTTTTATTTTTTTTCTGGAGCCACAAAGAGTTCATGAAGAGATATCTGATAATAAACGTTATTTGTTGAGACTGTCACGCTTAAATAGTGGCGACCAAGTAGAAAGAAGAAAACAAGGCGTCTTCTATCATAATTGTACCCAAAGGAGTTGCTGCTGTGTTTCACTGGCTTTTAATGAGGAAACTCAAAGGTGCGTAGAGGAGGGCACCGGCTCAGAACACCTTCTCTCATTTATTAGAGATCATTGCCTGCACTGTTTAGTTCATAAAATAACCCCAAAAAGTGTTAAAAGTGTAATTAAATACTGTTTTTTTTTTTTAGCCCACAATCCAACCGCCACTATTTTTCACTTTGAAGCACACCGAGACCACCTGATAAAGGAGGGTCTCTGTTTCAGTAGCTTTGGCAGATTTTTGACAGACAGTTTTCTCACTACCTAAAATAAAACAAATGAATTGGACAAACACTACAAAGTGTGACGAAACTGGACCGAACTGCCTAAGTGTGACAGTATCGTCAAACAGCTGTGAGAATTTTTTTTAAAAATGTCTACCTTCTGCACAGTTTGCCTGACAGAGCCTGGTTTTATATGCTCCAGATTAAACAATCAGATTATTTAATAGTCTAAACAGAGGTTTTAATTCAAATAATCCAACACTTATCAGCTAACAATAAGACAGTGATATATGAAGAGGTAGTTGGACAACACGAGAGGGGGAACAGTTCTGACTTAGCACAGGTATCGGCGAGCAAGAGACTTACTTCTTGTACATCACTCTCCTACCAGGGCGCTGACTAGATGTCATATCATGCTTTCCACGTCCATTTGTACTCGAGGTTACGTGTTACATCCACCCAAGTCTACAAAAGGTCTTTGTAAGAGATAAGATCAACTCTATTCATCCCAGAGGAAAGTGTTTTGCCAGAATATGATACAATAAAGGTTAGTGGTATATACACAATTATACAGAGGTTAGTAGTAAAATAGAAATCAAAAGGAATACAAAGTACAAAAAGCAAAGTGTCTAGAAGTGTTTGTGTGAAGTGTCTTAAGTGTGTAAAGTGTCTAGGTGGATGCCAAGAAATAGTGTCTAGAAAAACTAAACAAATAAATAAATAAAATAAAATAACACAAGTACAAAAAAAAGTACAGATTATCAGAAAGCAAACTGAAAGTAAACAGATGTATTGCACTAGAATATTGCACTTGAACAATGATAGTAAAGAAAAGCACAGATGATATTGCACATGGAAATGAGTCCGTTGATTATGTATCCCTCCCGCAGAAGAGGGAGGAACTGTACAGTCTGATTGCCTCAGGTAGGAAGGACCTCCTGTGGCCTTCTGTGGTGCACCTCGGTGGTCTCAGTCTACAACGGAAGATGCTCTGATAGGACGATGTGTGGACCTCTTTTTGGTTTTTCAGCTAGCAGCCCAAAACTGGCTGCGTTTGCACTGCAGGTATCCCGTTCCAAATGTGCCGGGATAACAGCTGGTGCCTAAAACAAATGCTGGTTTAAAGGAGAGTATGCAAAGAGGTTCTCCGTCAGCTACACTTTCATAATTCATCATTAGAAAAGTTGTAGTTGAAGTAGCCGCTGCTGGATTTAGGAAGGTGCTTTGATTTGTGAATCCACTGACGGAGTTCAAACATGACAGGAAGTTCTAAATTCTCCAGAAATCCTGTGTTCAACGGCACTTGCACGGTGCTACAGTCCAATCTTTCACTGCAAATCTTGTAAAAAGTAAAAGGTCACCTCCTTTCAGAAACATAGTTTTGCTTGGTTCGATATGAGGGGAACTGTGTAGCACAGTAACACATACTGTACCTCTTGGAGTGTGGAATGAACCATGAGTGCGTCTGCTTTACGCTTTCGAAGACTGCATTGATCACACGGAAATCATGAAGTGGCTTTTAGGACTGCCTTCTCCTTCTGGCAACACTTCTCCTTTTAATTACTAGTCACTAGTAAGTGTTTTTTACACTTTCTCAATAATGGTACAGTATAAAAGGAAATTATTCCTCTGGGATGTTCTCAAGATAGCACAAACTTAACACCTCATCTGACTGGCAAAAACAGTCTCTGTCAATTAGCACCTCCCCTGGAGTATCCTATCAGCGCCTAATTAACCATGAAAAAAAAAAAAGCACCAATAGGCATTGATTTTTTTTAAAGACATCAGCAAATACAAGTGTTTTTTACCTTCAAGGCTTTTTTTTTGTTGTTGTAGTTTTATGGAGTTATTTATTCATTTTTGGAAGTGGAAAAATTGGGAAAGTAGTAACCTGAGTGTGTGTTTTTTTTTAACTATTGTTAGGTGGCACATCTTTTTCGCAGCACAGCAGCTATTTTGACTTGTCAAAGCAGAAGAAGAAGCATAGGCAGAACTAATAACATTAGTTCCAGTCATGTGTCAAGGAAGCCACTTCATCGACGTGCCTTTTGCAGCCTCTGAAACTTCCATCTAAACGGATTGCAGCTAATTACTATAATTGGTATTAGCTAATTAGAAGCTACGTTTATTTTTGTTGAGTTAATTCATGCAGACAAAGACCCTATTATGGTAACGTAAGGACTGCTGATTAATCGAAAAGCGCTGGAGGATTGGGTTACTTTTTGATTCTTTTGTGACTGTATGTGCATGTCTTAGTCATTTTATCCGACTCACCTCTTGTTTGCATTCCGTTACTGTCATAGTGACCTCACTTGATGATGATTATGGCATTTTTCCATACATTCAAATGGCTTCCATTGATGTAAGGACTTGTCGGGTACATTGTTCGATCTGAAGTGAAAAGTCTTGAATAGCTTTGATGTTCTTTTCAGGGACCTCTCACAGTTGGCAGCCAGAGGTGCTCAACTGGAGAACAAGTCAAAGAAAGAAAGAAAAAAAAAAAAAACACTTGAAAACTTGAAGAACCAGAAGACTGCACTCAGACAGAAAACAGACAAGAAAGAAAAGGCCTATTTATGAGCAGACGGCAGCATTGTTCTGATAAGCTGCAACTCAAGTAATATCCCTGCACTCTTGAAAAATCATTTATTGTTCGACAGCGCTATCATTTCATTGTTGTCAAACACAGAAATGAATTGCAGCTTTAGTCATTGTGCACAGTGATGGTACATTTCCTGGAGCGCTGAAGTCCATAGGTTTACTGACTGTGTGTTGCAGGCGAGCTTTTACGAATTGCGAATCAGTTACACATTTATTGCGTCCCTGTGGTTACCCTGAGGCCATCTGAAGTCAGTCAGCCAACACAGTAAACAGAAAGGAGCATATATATAAGATCAGGTTGATTCCCATTTGGAGATCACATTGCAGTATAAGTCACTGCATATTTGAACGTGCTATTCAGAATGCAGCATATCCAGTCTGCTGTATGTAGGGAATTCTGAAAATAGAGAGCAGTATTTCCTCATGCCTGAGTCAGTTTATAATGCAAATTTATACATCAAAAACAGTAAATCATTTATCTTAGAAACACTGAATTGTCATACTGCTGTCCAATGCAGAGCTCTCCGGTGACTGCAGCAGAACAGCTGGGGGTTAACTGACTGTCGTTAGTCCTAATTATGTGTAAGAGAAATTGGGACATCAGGGTGTTATTTCATCATACCATATTCCTGTTTAGCTGCATGGCTTACATACTTGGACGGGAGGTTCTGTGCACATCCATCAGAAACAACATTAAAGCCTCCTGGCCCATATTGTGTAGGTCCCTCTCATGCTGTCAAAACAGCTGTGTCCCATTTCATTCTTTACCATCAGGACATAAACACAGAATTTTGGGTTGTCTTGTTGTGCCTGGCCCAGTGCGCCACTGGCTACGGATCCATTGGGTCTTGTGGGTTGCGGGTTCGGGCCTCTATGGAACCAGCCATGTTTCCCAAATTTTATGTTCCTAAACAACAAAACTGCAATTTCAATTGCGTTTTGGGGTAAACAAAAAAGTGCTTGATTACATTCGTTCATAACATGTCACCAATACCAGCCAGCCAATTATTAAATGGGGTGGGACTTTTAAATATGTTGTGAAAGGGTGGTATGTGATCCCATACTGTGTTATTTCTCTTACTCTAGCCAAGT